CATAACGTTAGTCAAAACATGAGGAAAAGTCAAGGCGTGTGGCTGTTGTTTTTGTGGTGTGTATCTAGAACAATTTGACATGACATTACACATTAAGACAAATATTAAGATTAGCATTACAGTTAATACTAACAGCTCTTTGCCTGCAACCTTGGCCTAAATGCAGTTTGCAAGCACATGAAATTAAACTGAGCAGTTAACAGCCTGAGCTAGACATCCTGTCTCCACTAAACATTTCTAGACACCAAATCTCTGAATATCTATCTAACTAAGAAAATACCTAACACTGCAATATAACAAAGAGTGAAAAATTTAAGGGGGTCTGAATACTTTCCGTACCCACTGTAGGTTCAAAGTGAGCTATAACGTAGCTTGGCTCTGTGAGCAGAGAGAGACACAGCAGCGTGAGAGCTCCAGTTGAATTCAGGGAAGCTGCTTCAGTAACTATGTGGCCGTGCTCAGCAGATGGCGGCTCAGAGGAGAGGGCTGTCCTCTCCTCATGGATCTCAACCAGAGTATGCACATCAGGATCTCCTTAGCCCCGCCCCTCAAAGCCCCCACCTCCACACCAAAACTGACAGAAGTGAAAATGAAAGAAAAAACTTTGGCACTGAAAAACACAGACGTTGACAAAAAATCAGAAGACTGTCACTGAAAAAACAACTTTGGTGGAAGCGGACACAGCTGTGAGCGCATGAAGTCGCCACTTCTGCATGTTGTATTTGAGTGACTGGACTGAAGGAGGCAAAGGATCAGGCGATGAGAAGAAAGCAGCAGTGTGAGACAGTGGGGCAGACGGCCAATTGCAGTTTCTCAGGGTGGACACGAGCCAGGGGCTTCCCACTCCTACCCACCAGCAGGCATTCAGTAATTGCAAATAAGCAAACAGGGCTGCCTGCAGTGGTTAAATTTTAATCTCCTCCTGTGTTGCTTCAGGCTCTGTGCTGTTCCAAACAAACACTCTCTCACATGTCTCCAGTGTTTTCAGCAGAGCAGTCAGATGCCTTGTGAATAAAGACAGATTAGGACCCAGCATCACTAGACCACAAAGTACATCAGGAAAAGAAAAGCGAAAGCATCTCCAGACAGAAAGAGTCAGATCGGGATCACTCTCCAAACAGAACCATATGGATCTGATCTCCTGATCCCTTTACAGTTTGTTTAATACACATCATGTTCCTCGTCTATGGCCCTGGTCTGTGCGCAGTAGCCTACTGCAGTTTAAAGTCTTCCAAGCTTTGAATCACATGACTCTGTTCTCACCAAAGCCCTGAGGAACTGTACAGATATGAATGTGACTGACCCTGGTATCAGTGGTCTCTCAGTTCATCAGTCAGAAGAAAATCAGTCAGCAGCAGTTCAAACCTTTGTTGTTTGTCATTTTTAAGCACAAATGCCAGGACATTCCTGTTTCAGCTCGTCAGATGCGAAAATGAGATGTGAGAATTTCTAGACCAAACGATCAGTTCATCAAACACCTAATCGGCAGGTTGTTCGATAATGGAAGAACAGTTGGCTGCAGCTTAACCTGAACCAGGAACATGAACATTAGCTGCTTTTGTAAACATCCTAATTTAGAAAGTCACTGACAGATGTTTTGCCGCTGAAGCAGAGCTGCGCCAATTAGTCAGTAGAAATAAACAGTTATTTAAGTCGTTCCAGTCCCTGGTTCTCAGATCAGATCCCTGAACACAGACTGAATAAAGCTGTGTTTTCTTTTCACAGAAAAAAAGACTTATCAGCATAAAATGTCAGGACTTGTGTGATCATGTTCAGAGTTGTGGGCAGGAGCAGATGCAGCAGACGTTGTTCATACCGCCACACCGGGGGAGGGAGCATAGCAGGGGTGGGTCAGCACAGGCACGTCCGGCCCCTCTCTGAGGAGGAAGCAGCTCATATCTTTATAATGAGCACAGAGGCTGGTGGTGCGTTCATGTACTCCCACACGGTGAGGTCTACAGACTATGCACCAGAGACATGACAAAAACATTTAATCTGTCTGCTGCATTTTGTCTCAGCTCAGGAAGAAGACGCTGGGTATTAAAATGCACCTTAAGGATTCATCGGTAATCAAAGCAGTCACTGACAAGTTTCATAGTGATCGACTAGTCCTAATGTAAAACAAGCACAGGAAAATCATGTATGAATGGACAGACATTGTGTGATAGCCAGCTGCAGGCTCAGCTGGCGCACAGCATGTGTGTAAATATGTAGGTGTGAGATTCACCACAGAAGAAATGGCAGCACTGGTCTGGGCCCTGCTGCAGCAGTAGGACGACGCAAACAGAAGGTCAACAGGTGCTCTACTGTGAAGCAACCCACAGCAGAGGAGTAGTTCTCCCACTGGGCAGGAGGAGGCCGGCCCTCGGACTCCTCTGTACTTCAGTTCGTGAGGTTTTGCAAGGTCCAAAGTCCAGGAGCTGATTCATTCATTCAGTCAGTGTTCACACTCAGCTTGACAAAGCAGGCGATAACAGAGGACGGCCTCTTCTGTGAAGACAAATAAACATGTTGGCAAAGACAGAGGAATTTCATTTACCCTTGGTTGATTGAACGGAGACTCAGCACACAGAGTTTCCCAGGTCAGCCTCACAGCATTATAATACAGTACAATCAACCAGATAGGTTTGTCCTGCATACTATATGGCAGCCAGAGAAATTCCTGGCATCTGCTTTCTAATTCTGGCCCGCTCTAGTAACCTTTAATGGTGCGTCTAAACTAGCACCTTATACAGAGGCTGAAATGTAGGCTTTGACCAGAACGTTGTCCAGTCTAGGAGAAGGGTACAGACTTTGGAACGATTTGCCTCTGACCCATTTTTATGCACTAGCATTCAGCCCAGCAGTTTATTGACCCTTGTTAATCTCCTCTGGTCATTCTGTCATCATCTCATGTTTTACTACGTGTTATTATTTTACTGTGTTGTCTCATTTAGCGTACCCTGCTCTGTACAGCACCTTATCAGTTGCTGTTGTTTGTAAGTGTGCTTTATAAATAAATTGACACTGACACTGTTAATCTGGTGAACTGTCTCTGTTACAGAAGACACGGTGAACCTCCACTGATAAAAGGCTGGATCCCCTACGTCGGAAAGGCACTGGAGTTTGGACGAGATGCACACAAGTTTTTGGAAGAACATAAGAAGAAGTCTGGGGACATTTTCACAGTAGAGATGGCAGGTTGGTATTTCAGCAGTGTGAGCTGTGACAAGGAGCCGCATAAGGATAAAGTCCAGACTGGGCTGTTGCAGCCAGTCATATGGAGCTGTAGCATTGTGGAGCACTTCACTGCAGGTTGACACCGCCAGAGTGATAGCTTCCTCCGCTTGGGACTCTGCTCATGCACATGAACTAGTATATCAGGGAGGGGCCCGAGGGGCCCAAGAGGGACGAGGGCCCTCTGTTTTAAGGTACTGTTAATGTCTGTTGTTTCAAGGTCACAGAGCTCAGGTAAGAAACACAAAATGCCTCAGTGTTGACTTGTAGTGCCTTTGCGCTGACTTTGTGTCTGTCTCTCTGTGGGGCTCCTGTGGAGCAGGGCTGGGGCCCTTGTCTGTGCTGAGGGGTCAGTTCTCTCAAAGTCTGCATGCGGCTCTGAACAGTCATTGTTGTGGTTTCTAGCACCAAGAGAAAATCTGAGCTGTGTGAGAGAGCTCTGAGATCAGATGTTCACTTTACTCATCCATGAAACCAGGACACAGGAAACACAAGCTGACAAAACCGCTGAAACGACCATCCACACAGCAGCTCTGCACCAGGTGGCAGAGTCGACACCTCTGTGCCGGTTTCCTTTGTCTCTATAGGTGAAGCATCCTGGAGCTTCCAACTGAAAACAAAGCGCATCTGGTGTGCGGTGGAGAAACTGCGGCAGAGCCTGAAACAGCAGACACACAAAGCCACTCCTCTAGGTTGTTCCTGTTCACTGACCGCTCACCTGTGTCCTCTCCTCACAGGTAAATACATGACCTTCATCATGGACCCACTGATGTATCCCAGCATCATCAAACATGGCCGGCAGCTCGACTTCCGCGAATTCACCAGCAGGGTGGCGCCCATCACTTTTGACTACCCACCCGTCACTGACAGCAAGTTCCCCGGCCTGGGGGAGCAGATCGTTCGCTCCTTCCAGCTCCTGCAGGGCGACTGCCTCACACCCCTGACAGATAGCATGATGGGTAACCTGATGCTGCTGTTTCGTCAGGATCACCTGGGGGCGGGGCCAGCAAAGGAGGGCATCTGGAGAAGCGCCAATATGTTCGATTTTTGCCACTCCGTCATATTTGAGGCCAGCTTCCTCACCCTGTATGGTAGGCCGCCCTCTGCTCACCGCCACAGCAGCATGGGCGTGGTGAGGAAGGACTTCATCAAGTTTGACACCATGTTTCCCCTCCTCATCGCTGAGATTCCCATCTGGCTGCTGGGCCGGACCAAAGCCATCCGCCAGAAGCTCATCAACTACTTCCTGCCGCACAAGATGGTCTGTTGGTCCAACACCTCGTGGTTTATCAGGAGACGCTCCGAGCTGTTCGAGCAGTATGATGTGCTGAGGGACATCGATAAAGCAGGTGAAGGTCTTTTCTGATTTGGGTCCTCCAGGATGTACAGGTAGTCATGGAGCTGGGCACAGAGCCAGAAATGTAAATGTATGTTTTTCAGTCTTGAGATGATTCACAAAACCATTTTTCCTATTTACATAAACAATGACAAATCAATGGAGAGCCAGATGCGCCATGCTCGGCCATCTGCAGGTCACAGTTTAAAACCAGATCCAGTGTCCCAGTGCCAGGACCACTGGGTGGAAAGGGTTAAAACATATATGTCTGTCCAAATTCTCCATCATCCAGGTCGTAGCATCCTGAAAAAACTTAGCAGAAGGCATGTGGACATAGTTTTAGGTAGAAGACGTTTCACCTCTTATCAGTTCTGCCTGACCGGTGGCGAGCAGGACGTGTTTATTCCCCTGGGTGGGGTTTCAGTCCTTCCACGGCCAACACTGTCCCCTAACGAGTCCTTAGTTGGCCACCACCAATTGGAATCTGAGATAATGGTGTATTCACACTACAGCAGTAAAACCAGGATCGCACATTGTGTGTTGTGCAGTATTTAGCCGTCAGAAACTCCTCGGGGCGTCGTAGCAAATGGCCCCACACTCACTCCAGTGCTGATGTTGAGAGCAGTCGACTCAGACAGTGATTTCACTGTCTGCAGCTGCAGGCCGTCTGTGTTTGCGTGGTCCCCTGTGTTCTGTGCTAACGAGGAGGTGCACACACAAGCTGTTTGTAATATTGTGAACGCACCTTGAGTTTATGTGAGTGAGAGCTGGGGTAAGATTAGGTGATGTGAGAACGAGTGATGCTGTGAGGTCGGGGGTAGAAGTGACTGCAGTGTAGATTGGGCTGAGGGTGGGCTTGGGCTGTGGTGTTCTGTATCCTGAGCTACAGTTTGTGACTCAGCAGCCTGAACAACTCTTTGACTTTCAGCTCATCACTTTGCCATCCTCTGGGCCGCTGTGGGGAACACGGCCCCTGCCGCTTTCTGGGCCATGTACCACCTGGTGAGTCACCCTGAGGCTCTGAAGTTGGTCCGGCAGGAGGTCCACGATGTCCTGAGACTCGGCCAGGTGGAGTTCAGCAGCGACAGAGACGTGACGCTCAGCCGAGAGCAGCTGGACAAGCTCCTGTACCTGGGTACATGGCTCGCTGACATCAGCTCATCTCACCTCAGCAGGGTCCAGCTGCAGTACCAAAGGCCTCAGCTGCAGCTGTCCTTTAAGACAACTGACATTCAGCACAGTTTCATAATGTGTCAGTGGCGCAGGACAGTAAACTACAGATACTACATCACATCTAGATGTAGGTAAAGCTTTGTTCAGCCAGGTACAGCTCACTGACAGAGTGCAGTCAAATACTTCTAATACATGACACTGACCAAATCACCGAACATATAGAGCACAGTAAATCAACTAAAACGTCAGTAATGGGATATTAGAGATTTAAAACACTGGTAGAAGGGTGTTTATTTTTTTACTACTGATAATAAACAGGCATCATTCCCTGACAGTGAGAAGCTCTGTTGTATAAATGCACAAACGTGCTGAGCAGAGTTGAATATGAGCATTAAGTTGTTCAAAGAACACTTGCAGGCTTCACTCTGTGACGTGTGAACGGTGACGTCTACACGAGTATTAGTAGCATGTAACACAGTAACATGTTCAGTGTTGTATGTGTCCACAAAGTCAGATGCACTTCAGAAGAGTTCAGCGTCTCAGCCGCTGTGTCTGAGCCGCTGGCGGCAGGAGAAGGCACTGCGCTAACCATGGCTCTGCTCTCCCTGCACAGAGAGCTCCATCAGCGAGAGCCTCCGCCTGTCCTCGGCCTCTGTCAACATCCGGGTGGCCCAGGAGGACTTCAGCCTGCGGCTGAATGCCAAGCGCTCGGTGGCCATCAGGAAGGGAGACATTGTCGCTCTGTACCCTCAGAGTATGCACCTGGACCCCGAAATCTATGAGGAGCCACAGGTGAGACTGATGAGCTTTCACACTGGCATCACCTTTGGCTGAAGCTGAAGTGGAAGTGCTGAATGAATGGCTGGATGGTACGTAGTACTTCCATAACATGAGATAACGGTACTGTTTTTTAAATTTATATCTGAAATTTGAAGGGTAGCCTCCATTTAATTTTAAGGGCTTCAGCCGAGGTTCGGAGCGAAGGCCTAACATCAAAGGAAAAGTTAAGGTCCTCTTAGGGCAAAATGAAGGGCTACCTGTAATGGTAAATATATACTCCTAAAAATCCCTTAAACTACACAGAAAGCCCCTTAATGGCGTATACTCCAATCTATGAATGTTTCCATTCGTTTGTTCAAATAAGCCTATTAAATATCTAAAAAATGAATAAGAATGTACATTAAAATGTCTTTAACCAGCAGCTGAAACTGTTTCAGAGCACTAAGATAAAGCAAAACCCCTTAACCATAATAACCACCGTATTCATTAAGTTGTCAAATATTTCATATTCATGTGGAAATTAAGGGGGAAGTCCCGAAGCCCTTAAAGTCTCTTCAAATTAATTTAATTTATTTTTAAAATTAAAGGACAGATGGATATGTGACTGATTCAGTCCAGGTGTTTGTGTTTTCAGGGGAATTAAAGGGTATTTTGTGTGGTGTTGTTTCATACTACTTTGAATGCGTCAGATAAGATGCACTCTGACAAACACTATTTAGGTTCCTGGTGAGTTTCCTCCATTAATCTTTGGCTTCCACAATGAGTCTGGGGCTGGTGCTCACTGCTGCCACCTGCAGGAATGACAGCACAGCTGCATGATCTGACTGGTGGAAATTTATCTGGACTTCTTTCAGTACAGGGTGAAAGCTTTATGCAAACCATGAAGACATTTGTGAATCTTAACAACAATAAAAAACAATTCATCTTGATTTCAGCCATAATAATGAAGCTGTGTCTTAAAGGAGCAATCTGACATTTTGAGATCATCATATACTTTATTTTTAGAGGCCATAAGACAAAGTCCAGAATGAAAGCGAGTAGGGTTGGGTGTCATTTGGGTTTTTTCTGAGATGGTGCTGAAACGATGCTTTTAAAATGGTGTCGGTGCCTAAATGGTTCCAGAACCAATATGTTAAAAAAAAAAGAAGAGAGAAGCATAAAATCAGGCCATAAAAAAGGCAGGGTGACATGGCCTTCACTTTCATATGTTTTCAGAGGGCACAAAGGTCACTAGGCCAAACACCAAGGCCCAGACAAATGACATGATGTGTGTGTACAGCCTGAGCAGTGAATCTACAAACTAGAGTAAAGTGCAGATGCCTGTAGAACAGTTAAAGGGAAACGTGCAGAGATAGTACCTGTGACCTTTATTACAGTTTGGATAGTAAACAGTGTTACCTGTGCACATTTAAATTCAAGGGCAAACTGAGCTCTTGTTGCTCTGCTGATGATCTAAGATCATGGGTCGGAAGAATTGTCGATGGATTAAGGAGAAAACAGAGGAAAGGATGTGAGATTTCTCTTAATTACTCTCAGTGGTGCAGTAAGTGTATTCTCTTGGCATCATGGTGACCGACTGTATAGGAACTGGCGCCATGTTGGCATCGGGTTTTGTTACCCAACCCTAAAAGCGAGACAGTAACAACTGGATAAAATTGACAGATTAAATGAGGAGATGTAAATAAAACCATGGTAAACCTGATCAAAGTACAGTGTTTATTATAGAGCGGCACAGTGAGATATGGCCACAGCCCAAATGTCCTCACACAGAACATATATACTGTATAAACCAGATCCAGGAAACAGCCAGCAGTTTAAATGATACTAGAAATAGATCTAAAGAATATTATGTAACTCACATAAGCAGAGTGCCAGAGCTTCGTGTTCACAGTTAAAGTGCTAAAATCCGAGAACAAAAAGTGCACACTGACCTCACTGTCAGACATTTGGGACAAAACTGGCTTTAAAACATCCAAATGGAACAAATGTGCCAGCTCAGTGTTTGTTCTGTGTTTCCTCTCAGGACTGCACAAACCAATACGAGGATTTGGGACAGACTTTAAACTCTTAAATCACAACGCTTCCATAGTCCAGCTGAGATTTAGAGGAGGACCCTGATTCAGTGGATCCTCAGAGTCCAGACAAGAGTCAGGTCTGAACCAGGCCTGACTCTGGGACGGACCGGTGGTGTCTGATGCTCTCAGCGTGTGAAGAGACTGAGAAGAGTCTCCAGTGCATGTTTGTGTAGACGCTGCAGGTGTTTTCATAGATAGTCACATTTGTCCCAGAAGTCAGTTGTGATAGTGCAGTGAGAAAAGCTCTGCCACCCATCAACCTCTAAAAACACTGTGCCAGGACACCTCCAGCTGCAGACAAGGTTGAGTCACAGTCTTTGTGTTCTTTATCTTTATGGACCACTTGTTAAACATTGCATAGCTTAGGAAATAGGTTTTAAAGTTGGAAAACCGTCTGGCTTCTAGCAGTTGTGAATGTGCACCACACTGGAGACCAGCATCCAGGTCTGATAAAGCATCCAAGGCAGAGTGCTGAGTTGTGCTCAGTGCAGCTCTTTACCAACCACCATTGTTCTCTGTGCACTGCCAGACTTTCCGGGTTGACCGCTTTGTGCAGGATGGCCAACAGAAGACGGACTTCTACAAGGACGGTCAGAAGCTCAGGTACTACCTGATGCCGTTCGGCTCCGGCTCCACCATGTGTCCCGGCCGATACTTCGCCATCAACGAGATCAAACAGTTCCTGTGTCTCCTGCTGCTCTACTTCGACCTTGAGCTGGAGGAAGGTCAGCCCAGAGCCACCGTGGACCTCAGCAGAGGCGGACTGGGGGTCCTGCTGCCCGCCACAGACGTGCGCTTCCGCTACAGACTGCGAAAGTGATGTGTGAGGGCTCTGGGCTCGACCCACAGTAGGTGATCTGAATCCAGTTCCAGTCAGACCAGAGCCACTGTAGGTTTACTTATAACAATGTTCTGGGTTCTGTTCTCTGTACATGGATTAACAGAATAGAAATCTTTGTTGATGATGTCACATCTGTTGGTTCCTCAAAGGCTCATGTAGCAAATCAGAAACCAGCTGATCATAGTTTCATACATACCGTGTCGTCACCACCATTTTAGTCAAGTGAATTCTGTCCATCACTTCCTGTGTGCCGAGCCCTTTGTACTGTGCGGTCATGTTTCTTCAATGTGAACAGCAGATTGTAAATACTGATGAGCTGAGCACAGATGTCAGGCCATACACATCAGCAGTGTTTAATAAGCCTGGTAAATTAACTTTAAATTCACATGGTATTGTGGTATTTGTTATAATTAGCTTTACAGTCCTGCTACTGAGACTGAGCTTAAAGGAACATTTCTGTAAACCCTCTTGTTCTGTCTTCTCCAGAGGCCATTTAACTCCAGTTTTTCCAGTGCAGAGAGTTTCTGGGTGTGTTTGGCTCAGTGACATATGTATGGTGGACAAGCCAAAATACTGTGATTACGGCAGCTGCCATTTCACTTTTTTTTCAGTAGAGACCAGAAGGGGAGTGACAGCATCAAACGGCCAATCAAAGCTGCCAAAATCAACTGACATGCCTCTTTTTATATCATCAAATAACTAATTAAAACAAACTTACCAGAAAAATGGTAACTTGTACACACAGCCTACAACAGAAGTGACGTCTGGGAAAAAGTGTATATAATTTGTACTTTGAGTTTTTAGTTTGACTCATGTCCCATCCACTAACCCGGAGGGGGGATGGTTTATGACCTACACTGCAGATGTGATACCCACCAATGGATTGTCACAGTTGTTGAGTTGGTATGTGATGTTATATATTTTTGTGTACAAGACATGGCCAATTTGTCTGTTTGTAAAGGATTTAAGTTTTCAGCTAGGTGGAGTATGCACCTCAGGAGCGCTGGTTTGACATCTGCACGACCTACTGTACGTTTCTTCAGATGGGAAAACAGCCTGCTGAA